GTAATTGCTCAGCATGCCGAAGGAGTATCCCAACACCCTAGAGGGTTGCATCAGGACTAACCCCCCTGTCAGGGCGAGGCTTAGCACGTTATTGTCTGGAGCTAACTCAACTTAAACCTCTAGATGACATCTCTTAGCCAATAATTCGGCTCTGCACAACACGTATCATCCAGTGCTGGACAATGGCCTCTCCAGAGCGATAAAGATCATGCACCACGCCATGGATGGTCGAGCCGAGTTCGCGGCTTCACTGGCGTGGCACGGCGGTTCGAATGATCGTCGGCAAGCGGCCCATTTGTTGTCATTAAGAACCAGGTGTCAGACAGGTAACAAGTTTATTTTGAAGGGCACCTTTATTGACCGCCGTCGCGCAATCCTTCTGAAAGACTGTCGACCCATATGGGAGCAGACAGTCAGAATGAACTGCTACCATATGCAGAACACATTTTGTCATGTTCGAATTATTTTGTCTCCGCGCCCAGGTAGCCTCGGTATTTTGTGAAGGGCGGGCGTGTCATTACCCACCAGATTGCATCTTGGTCACGTTAGGTCACATAGTGATGACTTCATCTGATTGGCTGCTCAGCAGACAGCTCCAGCGTAGAAGCCCACCATTCCGGCGACCGTCATCTGATCAGGGTTAAAATATCTCGCCGCTTCCCTGTTATCTGCGACGAATAGAGTACCTGAGAGAGGCACTGCATCATGCGGGATGGTACGGTAGTCGGAAACTGCGCCGGACTAACTACGTCGCTATAAAGTATCCTTCCTCCTCCCTCCCCTTGCACGGCAAGTGCTACAAGATATACATTACACACACACACACACAACACACACACACCACACACACACCACACACACACACACACACACACAACACCACACACACACACACACACACACACACACCACACACACACACACACACACAACCACACACCACCACACACGCACGCACACACAAACACACACACACACACACCACAACACACACAAACACACACAACACACACACACACACAACAACACACACACCACACCACACACCACCACCCACACACACACACACACACCACACGCACACACGCACGCACGCACGCACGCACGCACGCACGCACGCACGCACGCACGCAGCACGCACGCACGCACGCACACACACACACACACACACACACACACACACACACACACACACACACACACACACACACACACACACACACACACACACACACACACACAGACCATGTATTCCACTATAAAGGCCGAGGGACTTACAACGGTTGCGGTCAATCATAACGTCACACTAAGTGGGTGTAACTAGTTACTATGGGCCATCAAAGTTACTAGCATGCAGGTGTAGTTATGTTTAATGCTAGTTTATGAATGCACATTTGTGCTTTGGCTTCGTGAGTAGACAGAGCTTCTGTTTATGAAGTGTATAATCGCTAAGGAACTGCTTGTAGTGGCCTTCGTACTCTATGTATCCGCTTAAAGTGAATGTTTCAGGTTTGAAGATAATGAATCAGGCGTCAGATATGATGAAACAAGCTCACTTACAACCGATTGGTACAATCTTAGTAAAAAGACCGCTTTATACGTCACAATTTCTATGTAAGTAAATATGCTTCTAGATACTCACGGTTTGATTAGGCCATCGTGCCTTGCACAACACTGATTGAGAGCCAATATTGACGGTCGTTTCATATCCTGCAATTACGCCAACGAGCGGCAAGATATGAATGACTTGTCCATTATATCTTACTGACCTTGATCGCCACATGGCGTATGAAATCACAGGATTTGAATGGCGTTGTCATGACGTCATGAATGCCAAGGGGATCTGGAAATACTCTCCCCGAAATAGTCTCCCTATCATCGCGAGGGTGCAGCTCAGACACTCGGAGGGGTTCAGGGTCTTAAGAAGGGAAGGGCTGGCGAACTGTGGCCCGATAAACAATCAAGATAGTTATTTCGGTTCAAAACTCAATAGAAATTTGGAACACTCCCGTAGAGCTGTTGGTGTGATGCGGTAGACCTAACTTGGCATGATTTCATTCGGATGCCTGGTACAGGTCGGGTCGGGCCAACAGAGCACTCTGCTCATCACATCACGGTACACAGCCATACAACATTCACGTCATGATCCACACCGTAACTTTGCAGCGTATGCGTAGTGATGCACATTTCAACTAGGCAGTGAACGCATAATCACAGTCGTGTTCGTGCGCACGTTGAATGGTTGACCTCAAAAATGAGCCTGGTGCATTTGGTCAATAACTTATGTCATAGATGTGTGCATTCGTTAAAACATCGTCTCTGGCTACGCTCCGTTCTCCAGAGAGCCCTTCTGTGGTGATCGACCTTCGACGACCGGGGCCCAAAACAAACTGGAAAACACTACCGGAGACGCCGCCATGGTGCTTCCCTCGTCATGTTGAGCCGGGGCGAGAGTCCGGAGAACCTTTGCACACACCACTGAGAACAGGTGGCCGATGACGCCCCGACCGACGCACCTGTCCAGTTCTGCGAACAACCCGGCGCCGACGGAGGACCCGAACGCCGTGTGCCGCCGGACTAACACCGCTGCTGTACCGAGCACCGTGCTCCGGTGCCCGGGTGCGGTCGGAGTCAGGGTTGCCGGGTGACCTCCGGGCAGCCCCTCCCGCCGCCGGGGCACGTCCCTGCTGACGGCACCACCGACCGCGCTATAATTGATGCCGACTTAATTGCCCCGAATGTTGTTAGGGAGCGGTCGCTTTTTTGTTGGTTACATCTGAAGCACCGCTTCCAGACCGGTTCGGGCGGCTCTCCTGACAGCAGATGAAGTGAACCAGGGAAACAACCCAGTTAGGGGAGCGCGTGCGTTTAAAACCGCCGACGGAAGCGTGCTTGAAATGCATCGCAGTGGTGGTGGTGCGCATGCCTGTGTTCACGGCCGAAGACGCGCAGCTTGATCTTCAGTTTTGCATTGCAGCTATTCTTCTGTGATGGCTCGCTGATAAATGACATCGATTAATGCTATTAGTCTGTATAATGAGGCAATTTAAGACCTTGATAACACATCGTAATTGATTACAGCGTGCATAAACAACCACATAATTCCTTCACGTCGCGACAGCTGTATGCCAGACAACTCGAGCGGCTGTCACCAGGGGCGAACAAAGGACAACCACACAGCGTGCGCTCAAATTGCGCAGCTTGCGCGATGTGTGAGGTCTTCGTCCTCGTCTTCATACGATTCTTCATGGTGGTGAGCTGATTATGCGGGATTAGATTTCTGCACTGGAGTCACACGTGCACAGCCAAGTGCTTATTTAGTCCAGTATATGCCACCCAATACCCGTGCATAGTCCTATGTATACCGCCCAATAACCATACTTGCTGCGCGCCGACGAAAGTGGGTGGGATCCCTGATTAGCTGGGCGCAGCTAGAGACGGGGGTCGGATGAACGTGACGTCGCTGACTGCAGACATACACAGACACCACCCCAGCCACCAGGCAAGGGACTGGGCAGGGTACCACTGACTGCTAGCCAAGCGGACATACACAGTCGCCGCCCCAGCTGCCAGGCAAGGGACTGGACGGGGTACCACTGACTGCTAGCCAAGCGGACATACACGGACGCCGCCCCAGCCGCCAGGCAAGGGGCTGGACGGGGTATCACTGACTGCTAGCCAAGCGGATATACACGGACGCCGCCCCAGCCGCCAGGCAAGGGACTGGGCAGGGTACCACTGACTGCTAGCCAAGCGGACATACACGGACGC